GGGCTACAATGCAACAAACACAGTAAATAATAAAACTGGTAAAATAAAAAAATAAAAATAAAACAAAAGAACAAATAAAGTTATGTAAATGGAACATACCAGAAGATACTGCTCCAAGTGTCCCTGCGGAAAAATGCAATAAAGTTTTGGACCCAAATTTTCTTCTGCCAGAATGGCAAACATCATGCTTTCCTGCACTAGAGCGTCCACACCCAAGTGAGTCATGCACAGAAAAGTTAAAGAGAGACTGGTTTATGAAAAAAATTACAGTGACAGTATTGACAAACAATCCTGGTCAAATATATATTCTTGATGATTGAAAGTGAGCAGACCCACCTGTAGGATGGCACCATACACTCTAAGGAGCACCTGGTGAGGTTCTTCCCCCAAACATTGTACATGATGGGGCAAACTACACAGGTAGAGTAGGTTGCTTAGTCCACCACTGCAAGACAAACATCATCTCAAGAGTTTGCACAACATAACCAGTTCATCAAGATGGACAAGAAAATCCTTTATCAGTTTTGATTAAACCTTGTTAAACTGACCATCTCACAATGCTAGACTAAAACACAAAACTGGTTTTGAGTGTTACAAGTTCTTTTTTCAACCGTCTTTTTCTCAATTGAATTGTACTAGCAAGTTAGGGACTTAAATATGAAATAATTTGATTTAATTTTTAATCATTTATGCATTTGATCAAACTTGAAATGTTATTTCCAATCAGCTGCAACACCATGCATTAAGATTGCTTCTAAAACTGGGGATTTAACAGCCTTGCAAACGTTCTACATGTTTACATAGAGTGCCATTTAAAAAGGTTGGGCACGCTTTCTCATTCAAGAAATGTATAAATGTCTAGACGATTAGTAGTAATTAATCCTGAACAATGTCAAGGTAATGTGAGAAGCAGGAGTTCAAAAGCACAGTATATACAACAATAGAAATCACAGTTTCCTTTCATTTCACACAATTTCATTTATGTGATGCAGACATTCTGTTATTCACTGTAGCTACATTACCTGACTATGCTAATTTGAAAGTCTGCCTCTTGAAGAGTTTTCCACGATCCTGACAAAAAGTCTCTGCACCAGAAAAAGGCCCTGGTCCTTGTGTCCCGATCGACATCCTCGCTTCTCCCATTGCGAAAAGACTCAGCTTCCGAGTCGTCATCACCGTAAGCAGCACCGAGCAGAGGACTCGGAGTTCTCGAGTTTCTCTCGTTAACAAGAAGAACGTTTCCGACTCGTTTCTTCTCCGCCGGAGGACCCGGCACGTCCTCGGCGGGATGAGTAGACATGTCTCTGCCGTTGTTTTGCCTCGGCCCTGGTTTGTGTTCTCTGCTCTGATCCTCCTCTCCGCTACGGTTACCGTGGGTAACATTTCTGCTGGGCTGCATCGTGAGCTTCCGGGCGAAGACTAGAGGAACACCGGAGGAAAAGGTTTGCCCGAGAAGGACAGGAGGGCTCGCTGACACACGCACTTTACCAGCAAAGCTTCTTAACCGGAAGAGCCAAACATAGCTACTAGTTCGGAACCGCATGGGAGGTGATTGCTAGGTTTATGAGTGATATATTCAAATGACTTTGAAATTGTCGCTCACGCGCAACCAGCAAGATTCTCGGTTGAGCTGAGGAGTACTCAACGTCCAATCAGATTTTGGGTTCTGTTTTTCTAATCATCTCATTGGTCGATGCTCTGTCATTACGTCAGCCATCGGTTTTCTGAAGGTTTCTGGGAAATGTAGTGTTTCTTTTACATCTAATAGCCATGTCTGGCTTAAAAAAAAAAAGTTTGTTCACCAATTAAAAGTTTAGAGTGGGAGCTTTGTCTAACATTTTAACTGAAAAACACTGTTCAAATGATTTTATTTTTTATATGAAAAATACAGAAAATACAACCAGACCATACATTTAGTCAATGAAGGATTTATTTAAAACTCAGATTTATTTTAACTACATCAGGAACTTTGACGATGCTTTGTTTGGTCGTTGTTACTCAGAAATAGGTTGAGTGATGATAAGTTCCTTACTGCTGATCAAAGTGGTCTCGTCTCTGTAGAGTTTCTTGGTAGAACCAGAAATCTCTCTCCCTGCACACAGAACATGGCAACAGTCAGACAAACAGATTCAACCACAACACAAACATTCTGCTCAAGTGAATAAAAGCCTAGACAGTCACAAAACTGTTGGAATGAAGGAGCTACTTACTTTTTCTGAAGCACCTTGGTTCACAGTTATCTGTTGCAGTRATCTGGCATATAGAAACCTCGCAGTGTACAAACACCTGGTTGAAAAAAGAGGTAACATGTTTTTATAGATGTGTTTTAAATTTGATTTTAGTATATACAAAAATTCACTTTAACAAAACCACTCATACATGTTCACTGAGAGGAGTAAATGGTTGATCTGAAGGTGTCTTCTTGGTATAATCAGATGCACCCCCGCTGACAAATGTGAACATCTGGAATTCAAATCGTTTGTAGTAGCTTGGGTAGTAGACTCCAGATGAAGCATCCACAGGGATGAGTCTTGTTAGATAGCGATCATCACGGTTGGGGCAGCTGCACAAGAAAAGAGTTAATTATTGGCAAAAACACATTATAAACATGACATTTGTTTACCGTTATTTAACCAGGCAAGTCCCACTGAGATCTCGGATCTCTTTTGTAAGGGAGGTCTGGGCCTGAAGGCAACCTATTTGACATGAATGTCTTTTAAGTCAAATCAAAACTCATTCTTACCCATGAATAAGTAAATCCCACTGTGGAAGATAATCAGCAATGGGGTTGGTATTTGCCCAGCATCTTCCAAGAGTCAAGGCAATGTTAGCATCAGTCCTGTCCAACATGTGGACCTCAACATACACTGGGTCCCTGAGAATCTTTGTAATAGGGTAGTCGGCATCAGTGTAATAGGAAGTGTATGCCACTTGATCTGTAAATAAAAAAAAGAAGAAAACAAGTAGTTATTGAAGCAGTCATTGGAAAAAAAACTAACTGTACAAATGATGTCCTTCACATTTACCTTCAACACAACCCTTGGTAACACATTGTCCATTGCCAATCCTGAGTTCGACACGCAGAGGTCCAAGAGCTGCAACTGGTAGTGGTGGCGGAAGTAGGCCAACATCAATGACCAAAGCCTGAACAGCAGTACCAACATATTTGCACTGGACTTGCACCCTGAGAGAAAAAATAATTAGAAGATCAGAACCTCTTGTTGGTCTGTCTACTCAAACTGATTTTAACACTTGTGTTTTGTAGCACCACTGAATGCTCTTGTCTTCAGTTGTAGTGATAAGTAAATTTTAAGGTATTAAAACACATACTCAAACAGGCTGTCCCTGGTAATGGATCCATGAGGTCCAACTGCCACTTCGAACAGAGATGTCATCTTGTTCTGATAAATTATAACACCAGGCTCCTCCTGCAAGAACAGGACAATTTTTAATGTTGGAAAAATTAATGCAAATCAAGTGTAAGAGGCATGATTCAGACATTACCGTCATGACAGTGCCGCAGTCAGTTACAGGGAACTGGTAGATTGCAAAAGCTGAAGTGGTACCAACAGGATGGCAATGATCACCAGTTCCAAGGAAATTAATGGATTCTAAATCAATATTGGGTAGGGTGGAATCTCTGGCCACAACCACGATGAACTCGCCATCCTTGGTGCACTGAAGAGTCACTGTAACGAACAAATGAAGAAAAAGAGTGCAAATTCAGTATGTTTTCTTTGAGTACATTTTTCAAAAGTTTCTGAAAAAAAAAATATTAAAGGGAAAATAGTACCATATTTGCCATAGTAGCACATGCGTCCATCATAGCAGCAGTTTAAAACTTCGCAATCATGGGCAGTGGTGGAAGGAGGACCACATTGTATTTTGTAGTTCTCGGCTACTTCACAAATGTGAAATGAATCTGGTCTGGGCGGAGAGGCTGGAGGGGCCGGAGGATACAAATGCTGAGGTACCTGTGGCGGCGGAGGGAATTGTGGATGAGGAGGTTCTTGGGGTGGAGGATTTGCAGGTGGTGGGGGTGGAGGATTTGCAGGTTTCTGGGGGTACTGAGGGACGTGAGGAGGTGTTTGGGGAGGTGGTGGGGGTGGAGGATTGGCAGGTTTCGAAGGGTAGTGAGGGACCTGAGGAGGTGTTTGGGGAGGTGGTGGGGGTGGAGGATAAGCGGGTTTCTGGGGGTACTGAGGGACCAGAGGAGGTGTTAGGGGAGGTGGTTGGGGAGGTGGTTGGGGTGGAGGATAAGCGGGTTTCTGGGGGTACTGAGGGACCAGAGGAGGTGTTAGAGGAGGTGGTGGGGGTGGAGGATAAGCGGGTTTCTGGGGGTACTTAGGGACCTGAGGAGGTGTTTGGGGAGGTGGTTGGGGTGGAGGATTGGCAGGTTTCTGAGGAGGTGTTTGGGGAGGTGGTTGGCGAGGAGGATATGAAGGTATCTGAGGATACTGCGGTTTGCCGGATTGCGCAGCAGCCAGGTAGCTGTAGAGAGCAGCTGCCAAGAGACAACAATAAATCAGCTTCATTGTTATGGCCTCACAGCATACAGTGATTCATAAAAAAAATCACAAGATGCTGTGAAAACCGAGGTGGAAATAGTCTGACTTTTATAAGGTGTGGGTTGTGCTGACTGATGTCTCTCATCTGATTTGTTTTTCAAAATGTCCAATCAGAAACCAGAGGTTTTTGGCTGGTCCTTTATAGTGGGGTAAAGAGATAAGCTTTAATGTAAAAAAAGAGCTCT